TGCTCTACTCTGAGCCCCTCCCGGATGGCCGAACTTCTCACCCTATCTCTAAGGGAGAGGCCAGCCACCCTTCGGAGGAAGCTCATTTCTGCCGCTTGTATCCGCGATCTCGTTCTTTCGGTCACTGCCCACAGCTCGTGGCCATAGGTGAGGGTAGGGACGTAGATCGACCGGTAAATTGAGAGCTTCGCTTTTACACTCAGCTCCCTCTTCACCACGACGGACCGGTGCAACGTCCGCATTACTGCAGCCGCAGCCCCAATCCGTCTGTCGATCTCCGGCTCCCTTCTCCCATCACTCGCGAACAAGACCCCGAGATACTTGAACTCCTCCACTTGGGGCAGGAACTCATCCCCGACCCGGAGTGGGCACTCCACCCTTTTCCGGCTGAGAACCACGGCCTCAGATTTGGAGGTGCTGATCCTCATTCCCGCTGCTTCACACTCGGCTGCGAACCGTTCCAGTGCGAGCTGGAGGCCCTCACCCGATGAAGCCAACAGAACCACATCATCTGCAAAAATCAGAGATGAGATTCTGAGGCCACCAAAGCGAAAGCCCTCCGCCACTTGGCTGCGCCTAGAAATCCTGTCCATCCCAAACGTTTTTAAAAAACACTTTTTCTTCTGCATCTTTTCTCCTTTACTATGACCATTCTTAGAGTTTTATATACATAAAATTGATCTTTTTGGCTTCTGATGATGGATATTTTTACTGTAACTGGAGGGTAACTGTACCTCTAAAGGTGCAGGGCAAAAACTTATTTGTACATTTTGTTATAGTTTCTCATCCAAAGCAAACCTCCAATTAATTGAGTGAACACAAAGAAACACAGAGCACTTTTAAATATCTTGATGAGTTCTGCAAAAATGTTACAGGCATTATTATCATTAGCTCTTCTTTCTTTATCAAACTGCCTCAGATATCACTGCAATATACACATTATTCAGTCTGCCTACTGGAGTACTGGTAATGCAAGTACAAGTAGCCAATCACAACTCAGAGCATCAAGACCATCTGCTGAAGTTCAAACACAGCATCAGAATGAGCAAGAAATGGGATTAAAGTGACTTTGAACCTGGTTGATGGTTGGAGGTGCAGACAGGAGTACTGTATTATTCTAGCTTCTGGCTGAAAACGCCTCATTGATGCCAGACGGGAAGGACCAGACTGCATTGAGCTGACAGGAAGTAACTCAAATAACCACCCATTACAACCAAGGTATTCAGAAGAACCTCTCTGAATATAATACAACTAAGCTTGCAGCAGATGAGCTACAGCAGAAGAAGACTACACTGGGTGCCACTTCTGTCAGCTAAGATCAGGAAACTGAGGCAACAATTTGCCTGGGCTAAGAAAAAAAATTGGATTTCTAAAAAAAGATATGAAAAATGATATGAAAAAAAAAAGCCTGGTCTCATGAGAAAAAAGGGGTCCAACCCTGCACTAACAAGGTATACCTAATGAAACACAAACAACATACCTCACACCGCTCCCGTCTGTTACTGAGCTCGTTCGCCTTTGCTGTCACAAAATCCATTTTGAGCAGCTTCTCCTCAGCTTTAGCGCTCTCCACTGCCTGAGCTTTGACAGTTTTGTTGATATCCCTGAAAATTAAGATTGCCAGTATTACAAAATATGCTACATATCATCCATATAAGAACAGGTGAGTTACCTACTCTTGTAAACTTCCCCGGAGCACCAGAGTTGACCCGAGTCTCTTTCTGAGGGCCCGGAGCTCTCTCTCAAGTCTTCTATTTGACTTCTCCGCTTCCAGAAGTTCACTAGTGAGGTTGTTTACGGCTGGCATAAAGCTGCACACAAAATGACGAGACACGAGCCAGTTTATCTCACCCTGTTTTTTTAACCTGGCCAACTTCATTGAAAGAAAAACAAAATAAAACACATACCTGCCCAGTGAAGTGTCTCTCACTCCAAGCACCATAGCATTGTCTACTAAAGCAGATAAGCAGTCAGCAACTGGCTTTGACAAACTGGCAGAGGACAGGCCAACACTTTGTAGAAGAACATCCTGGAGATGAGCACCTGAGTGGAGAAAACACTGAAAACTTTAAGGTGGAAGTTAATGTCTCACATAAACAGCACAGAGAAAAGTAAATCATTATAAATAAAGGCTTATTAATATTATTTGTAACAACTTGGATTTTTTTTTTTTAAATACTTTTGGCCGATATGCATCAGAGGAAGAGTACCACAGTGCAAAAGTAAAACAGATGAGGCATCAGGCAAACATACAAAGAGAAAACTAAGATGAACAGTTAAATGGTTTTAATGTAGAAATCTTTGTATACTGTTTATTACTTCACTATCAGTATCTGTTCACTAGTTTAAGTCTAGACAAATGTGTTTCTGTATACCAAGTATAATGTAAACACACTTGATAATACACCACACGTTACAGTGTAAAGGTTGTAGGCACTTTGAATTTTTAATTTCTCATCCATCACATAATAGCCATGTGCAAAAGTCAGTCCTGAAAGAGTTTGGAGTAACCATGGTGAACGTTTCATTGCCTGCAACATCATCTGTGAGGAAAACGGGACGCTGGTGGGAGGACCTGCCAGTTCTGGTGTTCTCAGGCGAATGCCAGTTAATCTGCATGGTGTTCGGTTGTGAACACAGGTCCCACTAAAGGACCTTAATGCCACCGTCATAGTTTCTGTGTTTAGGTTTGGTAACAAAACATGCACATGATTAGCCCACTGGAGGTAATTTTGCAGGGCTCTGGCAGCACTCCTTTTGTCCCTCCTCACACAAAGGGGCCGATACTGATCTCACTGCTCGGTCGATGCCCTTCAACCCTGTCCAGCTCTCCTTGTGTCACCACTGTTTTGAGACCACGATGGAAGATACAGCAAACCGTAGTGATGTACCATCCTGGAGAAGTCGCACACTCTCTGCTGCCTGTGAATGACCTGCATCTACCCTATTAGCAGTTTCTGCCTCCTGCTTGGACAGACTGATATCCCTGAACTTTAACTGTCCTTCTATTACACTGTGACCTGCTAAATGCCTTTAAAATGAGTGCAAGTGCACTTGGATGCGGTCTTAAACCCACAGCATATTTACCCCCCTCCCTAGATTAAATGAACTTTGTATAACTGCCTGTAAATTACTCACCCTCAGCCTGGTACTCTGCAGCTTTCTGTTTGAGGTCCTCTATAAGGAAGGCTGTGTCACTGCAGCGGGCTTCGCTGCACTGGGCGAGCTGGTACAGGATGTCCACTGTCCGTGTGTTGACTTCAAACTGTGGCACAACCTGCTCACCAAACACGGCGCCGAGCCAGCTGTTCACCTGAGGATGCCACAACAAGCAGGAACATATAAACACGGGGCAGCAAAAGCAGTCAGCGGGATATGCTCCCGAAACAGAAAAATACCTTCTTAATCTTCTCACACATGACTACTAAAAGGTCGTCACAAACCAAAACAAACGTCTTCTTGAAAACGGCAAATGTTTTCGCGCCCCCGAAATCATCCCCAAAACTTCCTGGTTACCGGCCAATGAGAACACAGGGCAAAACTACGTCAAGTAACAAACGAGAGACATATGTTTTTCTATATTTTCTAAGATATTTCATAATACAAAATTAAATAAAAGATAAACAGGCGTAATCAATCACAGTTGGTAAGTTAAATAAAAATATATATTTTAAAAAAAACTTTTTCCAAAACACTCTTTCCGGTTCACGTTTCCTGTGGGGAAACAAAGATGAAGAAAAACTTAAAATAGATCGCCTCCATTTCCGTTCAGTTCGACGGAACTAAAGAGACTTGTAGACTTGGATTGTTAGAGCTAACCAAAGCTAAACTCAAAGCTACAACTCTTGAAATAAAACTAAAAATTACAATTTCAACAAAATAACAAAACAACATGAACCTACCTAAATAAAAATGTGGAGGGAATGTCTTAAATTTTTAACTTTTCCAATTTGGTCACATTTTTTACAAGTGATATTGGCTCTTTTGTTGTATTATTGTTCTGAATCAGTCTGGATTCAGTCTCACACTCTGACATTTTCTTCTTCTTTCAACTCCTTACTTTAGGGGTCATTACAAAAGACCATCTGCTTCCATCTCACCCTATCCCTAGCATCCTCTTCTGTTACAACAACCTTCTGCATGTCTTCCTTCACTACATCGCTGAATATTCTCTTTGGTCTTCCTCTTTCCCTTCTCCCTGGTAGTTTCATATTCATCATCCTTTCCCCACTGTGTCCACCATTCCTCCTATGTCCAAATCATCTCAGCTGTGCTTCTCTAATTTTGTCTCCAAAATGTTCAACCTGAACTATCCCTATGAAGACTTTAGTATCTTCAGTTTAGCCACCTCTGGTCTTTTTGGGAGTGCCACTGCCTCCAAACCAAATATCATGGCACATCTCACTAGAATCTTCCAAAGCTTCTCTTTCACGCTCACTGCTATCCTTCTGTCTTTACATTCATATCCACCATGCTTGCACTGTGTTCTTCACATCTCATGTGTATGTTTGTTGCTTTGGATGACTGACCCTAGGTATTTATTCTCATTCACCTTCACCATCTCTACTCATCTCTGTGTGCGTTGAGACAACAGGTTTTGTGATTTGGTGCTGTATAAATAAAACAGAATTTAATTACTCTTTGGAGTTTCACTACTTTTAGTAACGTTTTACCTGGCCTGCTGTTTTTATTGTTGGTGTCAGATTAATTATAACACAGTGAATGATGAATGTTGGTTAGAGGTGGCCCCTGTGATTTGTTTTTATTTTTAATTTATTTATTTGCCCAGAGACCCAACAGAATCGCCACTGATATACACTTTGTTCTCACCGGGCTGAGTGCCACAAGCTAATAAATAAATACGTTAACGGCCAACAAACAACAACAAGCTAACAAATATTCACATTTAAAATTATTATTTTAAAAAAAATACATCCGAGTGGAAGGACGAAAGCGGAAGTGCGTGCAGGTTAACGTTTCGTATCGTCGGATACCTCTCGGATGGTTACTTCACCGTCAACAACCCGCCGAAGTTCAAAATAGCTTGTTTGAAAAAGCGAGTAGAAATGGCGACGAGGAAACAGTTGGAAAAATCTTATAGTAAAAGTGTAAATAACTCCACGTTTGACGCGTCCAGCATAGACTCCACCACGGTCGGGGAAAAGCTTTCCCGCCCCACCGAGAACGAGGAGGAGAACGGCGATGACGGACCTGTGGTCTTCATCTGCGCGAAATGCAAGCTGCCTGTCGGCGATTCATTGTCCTGGGATGGAAGTGAAGATGATCTAAACCAAATCAGACTGAAGCGTAAGTTTGGCTTGGGAGATTGTTTGCCCTTTTAGCCCAGAGCCGGCCCAAGTTGTTATGGGTCCAGATTTTGATTTGGGGCCCCCTTGTAGGCTCAACGCCTACCACCCACCCCAGCACCAGCAATATTAACTATATGTTATCAATGCTTGATTGTTTGTGCATTGTACCCATTTTACAAAGTTAACTATTTAAACTGCTTCTGAAATTTGCAAAAGGGCAAAACAATCATAAAGAATTTAACAGAAATGTAAATATTAGTTTCTTATGTGAACTTCAAATGTAAAAAATGAAAAAAGTTAATAGATTAAATAAGTATTTGAGTAAAAACACCCTCTACTTAAAGTCGGTGTTAATATATCTGTAACTTTGTGCCTCAACTAATGAAAGTGCCCTTCTGACATGCATTTTACCTTTCATATTTATTACTTTAAAAGGAGATACATGTTAAAATGAATGAAAAGACTGATGGCCTGGTGTGCTTATTTACAGGATGTGAATTTACAGATTTTTGAGCTGTGTTCAGCTGACCTATTTTTTATCCTTAGGGGTCACTGACAATGTCATGATTGGAAAGGAGAACCGACTGTACGAAGCAAGTAAAAAGTCTCTCTGGTAAGATGATGCCCAGCAGTAAAATATGTATTCCAGTCCTTTACTACCACCTAGTTTACTACTAGTTAATACTAGTGTAGCACAAAACTTACAATGTTCACAAGTGGATGAAAGCATCAGAACTTGCACATAGGAGTCTTTTATGATTTCTTATTTAATCAAGTCCATTAGGGCAAGGACAGAGAGACTCAAGAGGAGCTTCTATCCCCAAGCCATCCGTGCCCTAAACACACACACCTGCCCTCTCACATCATCTATAATTGACTGAGACAGGACTCTCTTCCAGACACTTAACCAAGGAGCGTGTCAAGTTACATTTCACTGTGTGTTATACTTGTATAACTATACATGTGACAAATAAAGAACCTTGAACCTTGAAAACTCAAGATGGTCTCTAATTTCAGTAAAGACTTGGATTTCCCTTTTTTGATTGATGCTAGTGTCAAATGCTACACATCCAACCATGTGGGAGATGACTTTAGAAGTCTGAAATTACTCATAAAAACTTCCTGAGAGGATTGTGGAATCAGGTTGAACAGATAGTGTTTTTGTTTCAGTCACATCACCTGGATGGACCTCTCACACTCCTCACTCAGTTCTGTGGCCCTTGAAAAGCTTGATGCATAGGTAGCAGGTGATCATCTTCTTGCACTGCTGAGGTGTTCTTGAAGCAAAGGTTGCTTTGATGGTGGCTTTCAGCTGGTCTGTGTTATGGGGTGTTTGTCATCTTCCTGTTGACAAATCCCCACCGATTCTCTCTCTGATTCAAGTCAGGGGAGTTAGCTGACCCATCGAGCACAGCAATAACATCAGGTGATCAGCAGATGGAAGAATGTGCTGTAGATGCTTCAGTTGTCTCTAGCCAAGGAAAGGCTTGATATGTGGAGTACAACAGTTGCCGGTCCTTCGCCGAGGATGTCTGTGTGTGGTGACAGCAACCTCAGAGCACTGTGAAGATCTCCCAAGTTCTTGAATCAACCTTTCTTGACAATCAAGTCTGCAATGATCCCTCCTGCTAGTTCACTTTTTCCTACCACACTTTTCCTCTTCATGCAAACTTTCCATTAATATTCAGTACTCTGTGAACAGCCTTTTCAGCTATGAAAAGTGTTGATAGTTGTCAGATAACTGCAGTGGACTCTGAGATAGATCTACCTCTGAAGCGTTGCAGTTTTAGTACAGGTAGAGCAGTAATACCACATGTGCATGCCTGATTCCACAACGTCCATCGGGGCAGGAGCAGGGTAAGCCATTCTTTTGGCATTTTTTTATATATGCATGTGTGTCCTTGTTGGAGTAAATCTGTTTCTCTGTTTGAATGTTGTGTTTTTTCCTCCTTTAATTTCTCTACAGTTTGGTTGTGGATCTCATCTGTCGAGGCTGCCATTCTGTGCTTGGCATGGTGTACACATCCACCCCTAAGAACCTGGACCACAAGAGGTTTACCTTCTGTTTCAGTGTCGCTGACATCGACAGGTGCGTTTTTGGGACAGACTTTAGTTTAAACAACAACAAAACATGGTTCATGAATTCACTACTTTTCTGATGACTCCATGCGGATAATGCATCACATTGCAAAGCTCAAATCATCTCAATCAAGTTGGTTTGTTGAACCTGACAATGAGCTCAGTGCGTTATAGAGAAGCTATAACAGAGAAAATTTGGGATGTGGAGGAACGGAAAATTAACATTGATGTGCCAACAATTCTGCAGCAACTGTGTGATGCCATCATGTAAATATGGACCAAAATCTCTGAGGAGTGTTTTCAGCACCTTTTTGAATCTACAGCAAATCTTGTGGCTCTTTTTGAACCTTGAAGGCAAAAAGGTCGTCTAACCCAGTGTACCCAGCAGTGTACCCCCACTTAAAACATGGATCTTTAGTATATACTCACGATGAAATAGAAAAGGAAGAAGTAAAATCTCCCGTGCAACTTTTCACAAAGATTTAAAGAATAAAATATTTTGGTGATTTGTTAAAGTAGATTAATAACTGAGACACAAAGCTTTGACATTTTACATATCAAACAGAAGAGATGAGACATGTTGTATATTGTTATTTTAGAACAAATTTTTATTAATATTTTAGTTATTTTGCAATAAGCTGTACTGTCTCTGGTCATGATATTGTATTTAATACCATTAATCGTAACGTGTTCGTGGTGTGAATCCTCCTTTTACAACTTTATTGACAGTGGAAATCTTTTTCAGCTACGTGCTCGGCTCTGGAGGCCAGATGTTGGCAGCAGAGGGCCCCAAAGAGCAGCCAGTAACACTGGAGTACAGAGGCATTGTTGAACAACAGCTGACAGAGGTAAATTACTACTGCTGCTTCTCTTTGTCTGCTTTCTCTGATGATGTCTTGCTTTGGGAAAAACAAAATGTTTCACGTAATGAGCAGATTTTCTGCTCTAAAGCTCACTGTAAACTGATTATATCTCCAAACGCAGGTTGACATTAGTCCTTAAAATTGTATTGTTGCTTTGCAAAAAGTATTAATGTTAAAAAATCAAAATCTGGTCAGCAGATCTAAACTCTATGCAAGGTTTTAGCAGAAATAGTTTTTCTTTATTGACCTGTCTCTGTCATAGTACTTTCTCATTAGCAACAAGCAGCGCTTTCGTTGATGCCCAATGCATAGGTTGTACTAACGGTGACATCAGCTTACTTCTGGGAAACCCTTTGTGCTGTAACGGGCAGGCAGACACTAATATCAGACATTACCTCATCTATCCGTCTCGTCTTCTGCAAGCACTATACCATTTTCTCTGAAATAATAGCAGTGATGTTAATATGTTTAGGGTTCAGTGTTGGCATCCAAATCTCCTGTTTGCAGTTATCCAATATCTCAATTTTAATTTCCTTACCCTAATTTAGTGTCATCTTATAATTCTCATTATCACTGCTCAGGAATTCTAGTCAGATTTTTCACGGGAATCGTGGAATGACTCCCAAAGTTGAAGTCTAAATCACCCTTTGTTTAAAATATCCCACAAAACCACTAATTGGCCAGTAGGCGGCGATAGCGCGCAGGAGCGCCTGCCAGCCCTTCCACACTCTCTTGCACCGGGGACAATAGATGTGATACAGACCATGCTGAGGAATCTTCGCTGGAGAAAAACATGTTTTGGTCATGGAGTGTTTTTGTCACGGTAGCTTGGTGTGTGTGCGCGGTGCTCTGCTTTCACTTTGCACCAACCTGTGAGTTTTCATCACAGACCATGTGAACCATTGCATTTTGAGATGTTATCTGTGCAGCAGTATATTAGGAACAGGTTATGCTGATTATGGGACAAGAAAAACAAAGCACGAGCAGCGTATGTCTTTTTAAATATCTAGAAAGACTTGTAGGTGTGTCTAAAGTTCGTTAAATGCTTTGTTAAATCTTTTTGCCCGTGACCTGAGTATTTGTGTATAATTGCCTTCCCTCTTCCTTTTCCATTTTTGTGATCCACCAAAAGATATACATGAAAACCCCCCCAGTTCATCTGATTAAATTAAACCAGTGTCACTGCTGTGAGAATATTACTACACTGTGTGTGACGCAGACAAAGGGATACCCCAGGAAAGTGCATAATGAAGTGAAGATATTTACCTCATACTGGCTTTGGTTAATATTTGGGTTGGATTTACTTCTTAAATCCATCTTGCTTTGAGTGTTTAGTGCTTGTCTATATAGATTACAGATTAATCAGACTATAACTACACAACAGTTATATTAATTTCTGGTTATAGGCAGGTTGTCTTGTTAGCTATTGGTGCATTGTAACAAGATTATAAAGGTTTTTTGATCAGCTCAGATATTAACATCGCCGCTTTCTATTATTACTTGTTTGCAGACAAAACCCTACATCAAGATGATACACTTCAAAAACCAAGTTTCAACTTTAAGGCTTCAATTTTTAAGATATCTAGCTGGGTGTTTTTTTTTTTAAATCCAAGGCTCATGTAGGTATAAAGTTAAACGTTTTATTGCTCAGTAAAATGTTTTGATAGTAACAGGTCTGAACTTTCATCAGTTGTTAATGTTTTTGAGTTTGAAAAGTGTCATTTTAGTCTGTTAACTGAATTTTGGTTTATGTTTATGACATTTGTTGCTAACCAAGTTAAAGTACAGGTTAGGGCTGGGCGATATGACCCAAAATTCATATCTCGATATTTTTTAGCTGGATGGCGATATAAGATATATATCTCGATTTTTTTTTTTTAAAGCCACAAGTTAAGAACAAAAAGAGAGTTCTTAGTCACACTGTGTCCCAGATGTCACACGGGCACTTTTATTTACATACAGCGTAGATGTACATGAAGAAATTACTTAAAAATAAATTATCAGCATTTATTAAATAATCATGGTCCATAAATAAAAGAAAACAATGTTGTTTTTGTGCATAACAAAAAGCTCACAATTGTGCAGTCAAAATGTAAACTAATAGACGCTGAGCATAATAACAAAGAGACAGATTTCACAGCTGCACCACGTCTCTGAACAGGTGCCATTTGTGGTCCTTATACACACACAGTACGGTAATATTACGTTGAAGCACAGTACGTATCACTCCGCGAGGCTCCTCCTCGGTAGCCGTAATCCTCCGACAATCCATCAAGCGGTGCAGCTCCGTAGCTTAGCAAAGTCCTATTAAAACATTTTTGGACAGATTGCTGAGCGCTGTGTACCACATAAAATCGGTTCGCGGTCAGTAAGCACAACCAGAATTCATACATAAGGCGCACTGTCGAGTTTTGAGAAAATGAAAGGATTTTAGGCCGTGCAGCTCCTCCGGGCTGCATGTCGTTAGCGCGGTTAGCTCGTTAGCGTGGTTAGCTCGCTAACACGTTGACGCCGTCCAGCCCCACGCACGGGACGATCCGCTGTAACTCGCTAACGGAGATTTTCCGCTTTCATCTTGTCATTGCCTGCAGGTGAAGCTATGGGGGAGGGGGAGTTGTGTTCAGTGAAGGAGAGGCGAGGCCGAGTAACGCAGCGTAGAGACAAAAGTGGACGAAAGAGAGGCAAACCTGCGGCTCCACAAGTATAATTATAACGTAACATAGGCTATATCGATATAAACGATATTGTCACATCTTATATCTCGTATGAAAATATATCGATATTTTTAAAAAACTCGATATATCGCCCAGCCCTAGGTCAAGTTTTACTGTTTTCTGGCATTTTATATCAGGATTGCCTCATTATTTGGGGAAATAAATGACAGAACGGTAACTCAGATTTTCTAGATACATGTGCCGTTATCGATTCTGCTCATAGAGCCTAGCCTTTATCGAGTCCTAAATAGTTTTCTGCGTCAAGCATCCCATAGCTTTCCAACAAACAAAAACCACAAACAGACAAAGAAACAGAAAGCGTAGGAAAAAACGGCTGGCAGGTAACTCAGGTGTGCAAAAGCTCCATGCTTAACGAGTTTGACATCATTGTCTTCCACTCAGTTAGAAAAACAGAAAAGCACGTCCCTGTGTTTGCAGCACGGAGTGAATAATTTGGCGTCTGTTTCTGTTTTACCAGTTCTCGTACACTGACTATGAGATAAAAAAAACAAAACAAAAAATTGTTGCGTGCGCCCATTTTGTTAAATGAAAGGAAGGTGTGATAGGAGGATAGTTTTTATTCTCTTTGCAAAATGTAAAACAACAAACAAGAAAAAGTGCAGCAGTTTTGGTAAACACAGGTGGCATTCGTGCTCTCTCTCCGAACCGTTTTGCTCTTGGTCTTTGTTCTCAGCTATCTGATGATGCTCGTGGCTCCTGATGCCACGCTTAATGTATTCTGTCTGTCTGCCTCCCTGTCCCTCCGTCTGTCTGTCTGTGACTTGCAGACACTTGTTTGGGTTTTTAATCTTCTACCCTCAGTGACCTGTCTCCCCCACCCCTCCCACTCTCTCACTGCCCCTCGCACCCGTCTGCCCCTGACCACTTCCTTTCTGGGTTACCTCATTCTTCTTCACTGTCTCCCTGTACCAATTATCTTTACTCCTCCTCCCCACTTTCTTCCTCACTGCTGCTCCCCGCTGCTCCCTTCATTTCCCACCTGTCCCGTTTCCCCCTTTGTTTCTTCCCCGCTCTGAATCCCTCCCTCCTCTCTCTATCCTCTACCTGCCCAAAACGCAACACAATCTCTAAACCATCCTTTTCTCTCTTTCCATGACCCCCCCAATCTTTTCTAGATGAAAATGCTGGTCATGTCCATGGCACACAGGCTAGAGGAGATCGAGATTGGCCTTCAGGAGGGATGCGATGACGCCTGACAGCGATGTTTAATATCCACACCCCTCAGCTGTACCTTTACATTAACGCTTTTATCTGTGACATATTCCTCGAGTTATATGAGTCGTCCTGACCGCAACACCTAAAAACACACACACACACACACAAAGCTTCCACTCTGCTTTGTCCTGATTACCAGTGGTGAAACAAAGCCTCCCTGCACTTGTAATCAATCACGTTGCCAGCTCTCGCGGCTCATGGCACAGTCTTCCCTGTAGGTCGTAGTGCAGAATGAATGCGCGCTACGAGCAGAATGTTTATTTGTTCGGGATCTCATCAAACAGGCTGCTCACTCAGCACAATGCTGTATTGATCTGGCCACTCGACTCAAGGCCACACACACTTTTTCTTTGTTCTCTCCCTCAAGTGTGGAGCCTTGAAATCAGGCTCGGATACATGCTTTTAAACGTCCAGTCGTCGCAGGAACTGAAGAGTATTTGCATTATTCTGTTCCAATGATGACTGAATTTTCCAGAATGGGTGGAAATTACCATCTGTTTCTCTGTGCGTTTACTCATTGTTGGATTGTTCGTTTTGTTCTCAAAGTTACATGTTTTTCTCATCTGCGTAATAAAGCATTGAAGTTTCAGACATGTTCCGGCATTGTCAGTTTCACATTGCAGTTTAAACCAAGCGAGACAACTTTAAACTGTCAGGATAATCTTTTTAAACGTTTCTTTTGCACTTAAATTGTTTGGGGATCAGTGGCTTATCCTGCTTTGTCTTTAATTAGACGTATTTCTTGGATTTAAGAGTTAAACAACCAGTTTAAGACCTTCAAAACTGGGAAGGTTGCTTAAGTCGGGGTCAGTGGGTTGATTAAATGTTAGAGCATTAAAAAGTGTTTGTTTGTTAGCTGACCTCTAATGTGCCTAGCAACACTTTCTACCAAAAAGCAGCTCTATGCCGTACCGCTTGCCCGCCCTCACCCACGAGGTTTCATCAGCCTCACACAACAACAACAGTGAGAAACGGCCAACCAGCACGCTGTATCCAAGGGCAGGTTGCGATGGCAACTGAGAGCACGTGCTACGCTGACTGCCTGTTGCCATCTCGTCATCGTGTTCACCGCCGGAGGAACAGCCAGCCAGCTCGCTGGCCAGCATGCCTGTCAACAGACGTTAGCCCCCCCCCCACTCGTGTTCAACCACACACCACACACAAGGGAAGAGTCGTGAATGAGCTCACCCCTCCAGCCCCCCAACCTTAATCTCTGTGTGATGTTTTTCTCTCTCTCTCTCTCGTAACTCCACCCTTGGTTCTTTCTCCCTCCCCCTCCCTCTAATTCTCCCCACCCTCTACTGTTGTTGTTGGTAGTGGGGGCGAAGTCAAAACAACAACAAACAAGCCGCATGGTTTTTGTTGTTTCTGGTAGCGGTGGTCGCAGCAGAAGTGTTGTCTTTATCCAGCTCTCGCTTAAGGATGAGTTGCCTGTTCGCATCCTGCGGATGGATGATGCAAGCCAGCCGACCAGTCCAGATGTGCGCTGTTGCACCCTGTTACACAGGGTGGGTAGCAGGCTCGTTTTGGAATACATTTCCCAGTTTGCTTTGTTTTTTCCCCATAGAATGAAATGAAGCTTAAAGGCTGTTACCTCTGTTTAAAGTCTGCATCTCAGGGAACGGCTCAGTGGATCGCCTCTGAACTCATCTGGCCGTTTTTATATATAGACTTGGTGTTGGTGGATGTGTTGCACTACTGAGTGCAATTATTGCACCGATTTCACCCCGTTCACCTCTTACTTCTGAACCAATCGTTACCACCCAAACCAGGACCAACATAGAAACACACGTCTGTCAGTACCTCTCATTCTACAAGCACTCGGGGACAAAGGATGAATAATGCAGAGGTAGCGTCTGAGTGAAAGTCGCCTCCCCTCTCTCCCCTGTTTTCACCTTCCCTAAGCAATAAGGAAGCAATGTTGCCATGGAAGCAATGAAGCCTCGGCACGGCAGCAGCCAATTGAAGCCTTTTCTGTGTGAAACAGAGGACCAATGGCTGCTCAGACTGATGCTGTTATTGCCACGGACTCTGCGAGCTGATTGGCTGTACTCTGCTCTTTGATTGAATTTCTGATCTTGTTTTTGGAGAGGAAAAAATATCTCAGGGAGTGCCACCTGTGCCAACTTTGAAAATATGTTTGGTTTTTTTTCGATGGATAGAAAAGGATTATCTTGTGAGAAGGCAAATGTTTCAGTTTTATTGGTTTTGAGAGCATTAAATGATGCTTCTTGTAATTTGGTTCTGATAATACTTGAGGGATGAGGGTGAGAGTGGTAATGAGATGGTTGCGTGTCAGATGTTTTGTTAAGGAAAACATTGAAAACATTATATCTGTACTATTTTTTTTCAACCTGCGCAATAGATGACTTTATTTAATCCTCGTTTCTGCCTTTTCCTATCCTGGTATTTGGTTTTCCTCCGACAAAGGGACCACACCCCACCAGTTGCTCACAGCTGGTTTTGGACCATTTCCTGGTTTAACCCTTCATTTTACACAAAACTGTGCATGTTCACTGTGCCTCCTAACACTGAGTGCTTTAAAAATATTGTTTAATAAATAATAATAATGATGATGTAATAAACAGATAATTATTAAAAAATAAATTAAATATCCCACTGGACTTTTGCCGTGGCTGATTGCCCCTACTTTTCCAGCGTGGTGGACTGAACAACAGTATGCTTGAACAGAATCTTTTTTTTTTTTTTTACATTTAAGTCATGGAGACAGTCTGGAGCCATCTTTGTCTTTGTTTCCCACAGATTTGTTGGAAGGTCGGTTAATAAACGTCTTCATCCGGGAGGTTCCCAAATGTAGGATGATCTTAGGTCTTTGTTCAACTTCACCCAGTTCAGATTAACTAATAAAACGTCTCTGCCCTCTCAAGGTTGATGACCTTCCTCTGTGTCTGTGATGGAACTATATAACCGACCAGTCGGTGACTCGTCTGACGGAATAACCCCAATCCCCTCTGAGTGCTCAAACAAAGCCTCCTACTTCATTAGAAACATCTGCTTGTTTATTTCCCCCTAAGTCTTTGTGTACAACCGTGGCTGCCAGGTAGTCTAGCTGCCTCTCACTCTCTCCTCCTCTTCCTCCTCCTCCTCCTCCTCTGCTGGTGTGAGCGCTGCTGAGGGAGGCTGTACTGGTCTGTGTGGCTGGACCTGGATGTTCAGGTTGTCTGTGTGCAAACATCCCTGGTGTGTGTAGCAGGTTAATCGTCTGTTTTTCTCAGACACAAAGCCTCGTCCCTTTGCCAGTGACACCCTGGTGAGAGTGTGTGCGTGTGTCTATCTGTATATGTGACGAGCAGGGGGCTGAAAAAGGGATTAGTGTCATCAGGACCTAAGCCTCAACAGACTGACAAAACTAAATTCCTGCTGGACAGTAAGTGGTCAGTTTGGCCACACATTAAAAGGATGCCAGCCATCTGACTAATCAGAATTCTTTTTTTTCCAAAGAGAATTATTAATCATGCACAATTTTGAATATTGACAGCAAAGTCACAATTGTTCAACTTCTGTTCTAAATCTGGCAGGATAGGGTTTTATTAAATTCGATTTCGGTATCTGCTGTGTAACCAGACAACAAGAAGAAGTGTTACAATGTCTTCATATTTATAAATGTAATGATATGTAACAAGCTGCAATGTTAGCATTCCTCTAAAGTGATAAAAATATCCACTTATGCTCCATTCATATGTTGGTGGGGTGTTTATCACAAGCTTGTTATTGCTACTTGATCCTTTTATACGCAGATTGATTTGAATAATAATCCGTTTTTCCAATAATGCTTCCTGAGACTACATAGATTAATGGCTCTATAGTCAGATTCTTACAAAACGCAGTCTGAAGCTTCAACTCACCAAATACTTTTATTAAAACTCTGCTATTCTTTGCATAAATTGTTCAACCTTGAAAATGTGAGAGGTTAAAAATCATTTTCCTCAAAGTTACATAGGGACTCACAGTCTGGTCCTCCAATATTTGGATGATACTGGGTTTTTTGCCTCTGTTCACCACAATAATGGACATGTTGCAATAACACTTTAGGAATTACAGCCATTTTCACAGACTGAACAGTAATTTGAGAAACAACTCTGGTCAGTCTGAAAATGATGGACACCAAATGCTGAGTTTCTTGCCATGCGTTATCTTCAGTTGCTGTTTGTTTCTGGGTTTTCCCGCCCTAAGCTGACTGGCTCAGCTCAGTCAGCTTAGAAACAGTTGATAATGTGTGGAAAATACAAAAAACCAAAACAAGAAGCACTCCAAGAGGACGGGGTTTACTTTTAAGGGAATAGTATTGTAGTTTAAATACATTTATTTTGTTTTCTGCCTTCTTGTTAAACATTAAGTTTGCAGTGCAGTAAAAACAAGTGGAAAGTGCAAGATTTTGTTATTTGTCCTCTTAAAATTGAATTTAATATACTTATAATAATAATTTTGAACATATTTATTTATTGGTTTTAATTTATCTAGAATTCTTTTTGTCTTGACAAGATTTTCTTACAAGATTTTGAGGTAAACTTGAAAGAAAGGCAGGTGTGAAAAGTTAAAGTGAGGTCAGAGGTCAAATGTGACATGATATTTGGAGGGAAACTATAAATATTTGATATTTAGAATTTTCATATTCCAGTATAAAAGTTGCCAATACAAATAAAAGCAGTAGAAATTTTAAGTTCAATTTTAAAGATAAGACATTGTATGAAAGTTTGAGTCTAGTTTTATCTTGATGAAGAGATCAGAGGTAGCAAGTTCAATATTTCGTTCATTGGCATCAGATGTGGGGTTGAAATGTTCCCATAACTTATTTGAGCTGTGTGCATTCTTTCAAAAAGGTCTTATGGAGTGATGAATTCAAATGTAAGATTTTAGGGTTAAATTTTCATCAACATGTAGTTCACTAGTGAGGTACAACAGTGAGTGTCTACAGCTACCTGTGAAACAGTGTGGAGGCTCTGGCATGGTTTAGGGCAGCATTTCAGTGTTGAAGAATAAAGATCGTCATTTAGAATTTTAAGCTTGTTAAAATTTTACAAACTCTCTTTTCACCTTACATGCTGCATTTCCATGTGTGTTTACACATTTCAATAAGTCACAGCTCCTTTTTCCTATTTTCCTTACAAAATATAAAGAAGAAAGTGTTGTCTAAAGACGTTTGCACAGTATGTTATGTCAGTGCGCCCCAGGGCAGCTGTGGCTACAATGTAGCTTGCCATCACCTGTGTGTGAATGGGTCAATGACTGAATGTAGTGTAAAGCGCTATACAAATACAGGCCGTTTACCATTTAAAATGGGTGTCACAATTCAGATTACTATGATACAAGTGGTAGATGACAGGCTATGAGGTGGTGCATGCACCCAGGCACTGGGGATGTGGGAAATGGTGGTATTTATGTCACTGGTGCAATGGCAGAAGTAGTCAGGCAAGAAAAATGACTTTGATAAACAGTATCCAATATCTATTTGAGAGAAGCTATGTTATTTGTTTTTAATGCCTTTTGTCTTGCAAATGTATTCAGAGTGGTGCCGTTGAAAGGTTTCTGTCCATCTTTCCAGTTCAGCAGGATTGTTTTTTTAGCGAC